CCTAAGGTAGCCACCAGTTTGTTCTTTTTTTGTTTATGTGTCTCTTTGTTTCTTTCTTTGTTCATTTGTTTTGTCTTTTAGATTCCACATTTGAGGGAAATCATTCGGTATTTTCCTCTGTCTGACTTATTTCACTTAGCATTATACTCTCTAGGTCCATCCATGTTGTTGCAAACGGCAAGATCTCATTCTTTTTTATGGCCTATTGTGTATATGTGTATATATGTATATATATGTATACACAATATGTATATATATGTATATGTACATATATACCACATCTTCCTTATCCATTTATCTATTGATAGACACTTGAGTTGCTGCCATATCTTGGCTATTGTAAATAATGCTGCAATAAACATAGGGGTGCGTATATCTTTTCAAATTAGTGTTTTTGTTTTCTTTGGAAAAATACCCAGTAGTGGAATTACTGGATTGTATGATATTTCTATTTTTAATTTTTTGAGGAACGTGTTTTCCATAGTGGCTGCACCAATTTGCATTCCCACCAAGAGTGCTCAAGGGTTCTCTTTTCTTCACATCCTCACCAACATTTGTTATTTATTGTCTTCTAGGTTTTAGCCATTCTGACAAAGTGATCTCTCATTGGTTTTGATTTGCATTTCCCTGATGAAATTGGGCAAGAGTAATCAGTTTCCCAGAGGCCCTGTTCTAGAAGCCCATTCTCTTCTGTCCAGGGGTTTGTCATCAAGAAAATCTGGCTCAACAATTGGGAAGTATTGTATGGTTTGTTTGCTTTCTGATTCTAGAAATAGGGGCAAGAGGAATCAGATAGCTTGGCCTCGACACACAATGCACGAAGCTCCCCAATAGAAGAGGCAAGGCAGTGAGGGTAGCACTCATAGGCGAGTGAAAAGAGATTATAGGTGTGCCCAGACAGGTGGCCTGGGTGTCTCTTCTTTTAAGAGGGTAAAGCTGAAAGTGCAGCATCATCTTAGCTAGAATTGTAGCTGGCCTGAATAATTCTCCCCTTATCACCACCACCACCACCATCTAACTGTAACAAGTAAAACTTGATTATGAGGAAAAGCTCAGATTGGCTTTCAGTGATTCTGTGCCTCAGATAGTAAAAGCAGGAATGGTCTCTCATAGGACATAGTCTCCATTTCAGACTACTCAAACCTGACAAAGTTCACTACATCTATGGAATGCAGGGAAAACTGACGTTTGCAATAAATGCTTTACACTTCAGAAAGTTCCGGGATCATTTCACTCTTTCAATTTCAGTCAACTTGTGTGATTGTCCTTTCTGGACTTTAATCACTTCAACTGTATGTGAGGGGGTGTTGGTGGTAGGAGCACAGTTGGAAAGAGGTCTTTTGGTGCCCCTAATGTCACACTGACAATGGCAGTATCAGTTTTAGGACTGAAGTAGTGCCTAGAGCATAATAGACCCTGGTAGCATTTTTATCAAAATGCAAGTATAGCTCTTAAGACTAAAAGCCACCAATAATTTCACTAAAAGCAATATTTGTAAGGTTTTTGGGTTTTTTTTCTCTGTAGTAATATTAGAAAAGGCTTTTAGGAACCCCCAGCCTTGGAATGCTGGCTGTCCTTATCTCTTGGTGGTCAGTGCCGTCAGATGTGAGTTTTCATTCACCACCAGCAGCTGAGTACCCACTGTGGGCCTGGCCCTTCTCTGACTACTGGGGTCCAGCGTCGAATAGGAATAGGTCCTGTTATCAGATAGGGAACAGACATGTGAAAGCCTGAAGAAAGTGACACCTGAGCACTGGAGAGAGGGTGAGGGGGAGCAAATCAGATAAAAACAAGGGCATTCCACTTTTCACTCATATGTGGAACTTGAGAAACTTAATAGAAGACGTGGGGGAAAGGGAGGGGGGAAAACTTGTTACAAACAGAGAGGGAGGGAGGCAAACCATAAGAGACTCTTAAACACAAACTGAGGGCTGATGGGGGTAGCGGGGTAGAGGGGAAAATGGGTGATGGGCATTGAGGAGGGCGCTTGTTGCAATGAGCACTGGGTGTTGTATGTAAGCAATGAATTACGGGAATCTACCCCCAAAACCAAGAGCACACTGTATACACTGCATGTCAGTCAACTTGACGATAAATTATATTAAAATAAGCAAAATAGAACAAAATAAAAAACAAGGGCATTCCAGACAGAGAGCATGAGCAAAGGCCTTGAGGTCTGAGGAGACTTGGAACAACAGAGGAGCTGAGTGTGTCACCATCCGGGGGAGAGGGTGCCAGCCTGAAAAGGGCTGATAGCTCAGCTCAGGAGTTTGGAGTTATCCTGAAGGCATGGGTGGAGGGGAGAACGGTGTCACGGAAGATACTTCAACAGGGATGGGACATATCCCAGTGCTCTGGCAGCAGGGCGGTGACTGGGCTGGAGAATGAAGTTCTTTCCAGTACTTTCTTCTAAGGAGAGAACTCAGGGTAGTCACAGGCCTTACCACAGGGCTCCCGGGAGAGGAAAAAGCCCTTGGGGGAACCCAGCGGCTGAGAACAGGGTTGTTGGATGTTTCATCTCAGGTTATAAAGAAAAACGTGGCTAATGAATAGGACTTGAGTGTCACTTGATTAAGTTAATGAATAGCTCGGGGCCTCAGCTTCAAGGATCTCCTCAGGGAAGGTTAGTTCTTGCCTTTTGAGCTCACTGTACCCAGAACGCTATCTCCTGACAGCCTTCCCTTCAGGACTCTAGGCTCCAGGGGAGCAGGACTTCTTGTCTTTTTTATCCACAGCTGTCTCTCTTGTTGCTTGCCTGCATTCCAGCCCTACCAATGCCCAATAAATATTTCTTGAATTAAGCACCAGAGTCATATGGGCGGTCTGATCAGAGAAGGGAGGCAAGAGGATATGCTTTTCTTTCTGGTGGATCACTGTACATGAAATCCAGAGGCTGGAAGAGTTACCTAAAGAGAAAGGATTTTATTCAGGGCTGTCATGCTCGCTCTGGATGTACTTTTCTCTGTGCGCCTTTATTTTCTCACGTGTGAGGCGAAGTATGTGGACGAAACCGGCTGCTAGGGTTTCCCCTTCTAATCCTAACACTCTATGCATGAAAAAGTGATCTTTGCCAGCTCCTCTCCTCTTTCTGGGGCTTCTCTGTTGCAGAAAGTCATGGCTGCTGGCAGACTAAAGATGTCATTCGGTGTGATTTTAGCCCTAGAAGTTGAAGGACTCTTACAAAGAATTTGTTGTTGTTGTTGTTGTTCTGGGAAAGGGCTATTTACTTTTATAGGCTGGATTACACTGAATTCCAATTTCTTTTATAGAAAGCAAGATGTTTTTTAGGAAAAGAGAGCAAGAGAGTGAGAATGGGCTCGGCCTCAGTCGAGGGCAGAGCCCTGGGGAGCCTCTGCCAGGACCCTTCCCCCAGCGCCCATGTGCACCGTGGGGCTGCGGGGAGGTGCTGAGTGGGAGGACTTCTAGGAGGGGAAAAAGCCCAACGGGCAGCCAGCAAGCTACTCACCGGAGGTCTCTTCCAAATGAACTGGATGGGGAACTTCTGGCTGTAAAAGAGAGAGGTCTCATCTGGTGGGAACTCGGGATCCAGATAAAGAACCTTCTTTTCTAGACACTTCTTGTGAAGCTGCTCAAATGTCTTCTCTTTCACTCCGATAACGGGAAAATTGCGGCTGATGATGGCTGAATAGATGCCACTTGGGTTTCCGCCCCCGGCCTCGGTGGTCTTGCCTTGGCCCTGCTGGGGAATTGGTCCCGGGGACCTGGGCTCAGCCCCTGTCCGTGGGGCCACAGATGCGCTAATGACGGTTGGCATGGCAGGCAAATTTGGAAGGAAAAGGTTTTTTAAAGAAAACAAGATAGAACTACCTTCAAGGAAAGGAAGCAACGGCAAAGGGGAAGTTGGAGTGATTCTGTCATCTGAGAGAAAATGTCCACATCCAAATTCAAAGCTCAAAGCCCATCAGAAGGTCATCCAGCTTATGTCCATCTTAAAAGCTGAGCTGTGATCCGGAAGAAATAGGTTTTCCTGAGGAAGGAGCACTAAAGGGTTTCTGCAGGGGTGTTTACCTGGGGGCTCCTACCGGCAGCATGCATGCCAGAGGGAGAGAGGGAGAGAGAGAGAGTGAGGGCTGTGTTTCAGTGGCTTGGAGAAGCTTGAGCCAAGAAAACTAAAAATAGGCATGAAGAAAGATTATGAGTATGAGAGCAGAAGAAGCTATGTGCAGGCAGACTACGTGGTGGACAGAGAAGGACCTGAATAGGAACATTTCTGGGTTGTCATTAAGTGCTGGCGTTGTCAGGAGATGAAAGGGGAATACTTGAGGAAGTTGAACACTGAAAATTAGCAAAGTACTGCTGATGTGTTATTGAATCGGCTCCTATATAGATCATCAAACTATAGGCCACTGAATGAATGGAGAACAATAGCAAAGAAAAGGTAGCCAGGCTGAATGTGAGACACTGAATTCTAGGAGAATATTTTAGATATTTTTGAGCACATAATTTTGAGTTTCTAAAACTCTAGGATATCAACATTATTCAGTTGGGTTTGGCATCTCTTCTAGAATGTTATGGTGTCAGCGTTCATTGGAACTGTCTGGGTGGAAAATGCCACTCAGCAGAGTCCCCAGTTGAGAAAAATCCCTGTCCTTCTTGCCCACTTGACCTAGACACCTCTCATCTCTCCCCACACCCCAAAATAAACACTGGACCAAATTTGCTACAAAAAGTACACCTGAGTATGGACTATGCAGGCACACATTAGGCATCTGAGTCAGCAGGTGGAACTAGACACTGAATCAGGTTGCCTGTCAGGTCTTGGGGGATGTCATTCCAGAGAGAGTTGGTATCAGGGCTCTTGGATAAGCACAAGTGGCCCTGGGGAAGGGAATTGCCTACTTGGCCTCCATCTTGCTCCGTGGTAGCTTCTACCCAGGCCGTAAGGTGACGGCTACATTCCACGTGTGGCTCAGTGGAGGCTTGTGCTAGACTGTAGCCATGCCTGTTTCTACATGACCAGTTTCATCATCTAGCCCCAAGGCTAGAGGCTGTGAGACAAGGTGGGAAGTGATAGCTGAAATAGGGAATACTACCAGGCTCACCGTCCCTGGGGTTGCAGCTTTGAGGAGCCCTGTGTCTGGAGCTACTGCTTATAGGCACCATCAGCCTATCCTCCTGTCCCCTAAGAAAATGCCCAAGGACCTTTACTACTGCTTTTGGAGAGGCAGAAAATGGGAGGGCAGCCTGAAGGCTGACGGCCAAGCTTCAAAGCCTGGGCTTGCTGCTTGCTGGCTGTGTCTGTGTAACTTTAGGTGAGTTACCTCTTCCTTTCTTCCTGTGTCTCAATTCTCTCACCTATAGAGTGGGTATGTGGATAGTCATTCTGTTACTGAGTTATCATAAAAATTAAACAACTTTAATTTATGTAGAACATTTAAGATAGTGACAAGATTGTCTTAAGCACTCAATAAATGTTGTTTTTAGAGGTGACCCCAATTTAATAGATCAGGTTGAATTACAGTCAGTCGGCATTCAGTCTACGAGATTTATTTACTGAATATCTTCCATGTGTCCATCCTTGGGATAGGTGCAGTCTGCCCAGCATCACGTGTTCACAGCATCTCCAATCAGAGGCATGCCTATCTGCCTGCACTAAAAAGTCCTCTAAAGAGATTGACCTCCACTCTCAAACTCCCCAGTGGCATGGAAAGCAAAGTGGGGGAGTTTCCTTTCTCCACCATCAAAAGCTTGAGTCCCAGCCCTACTCTATACTCTTAAATTCTCAGCACCCACCCACATTTTATTGTTTCTGCTTATTGAGCTTTCCACTTGCCCTCAAGATCGTAAACTCTGGGCCCCCATCCCACTCTCAGGGCTAAGCACATAGAAAGCTCTTAATAAATATGTGTTGTATATCTGTTGAATGAAATTTCCCTCTGTGAGGAGAAATTTCTTACCCTTCTCTTGCTTTGCTAATGCAATAAAAATTTCTTGGTCAATTTGCCCCTGTGGTTGGAGCTGTCTCTGGGCCACACACCTGCTGACTTTTCTTTCCTTGGCAGTCTAAGTAAGTAACTTAGTAACTAAGTTGAGTATGTGATAAGATGAGCCTATTGTCAGAGCAGGATGGGAATATCAAACACAGAGTGCAAGGTGCTATTCACTTTGCTCTATCAATCGTTGTGGATGAACCCCCCTCAGATTAGTGGGTCCAAACACAAGGTCTATTCAGCTGCCTCACGCCATCAGGGAGAAATCCAATCTGAGCCCAAGAACAAAGGGCAGATAATGAACAGCTGTGCATTTCGATTCCCAGAAGTCTCGTCAAGGATAAAGAACTAGCTTTTATAACATATTTCAGGCAATGTCACACGCTATCTGAGGTTGGAATGGTTTCTTTTGCACCAACAAGGCCAATCAATGGCTTTGTATCACTGTCTTTTCCATCAATAAATATTTCTTTTTTTTTTAATGTTTATTTTTGAAAGACACAGAGACAGAATGTGAGTGGGTTAGGGGCAGAGAGAGAGGGAGACACAGAATCCAAAGCAAGCTCCAGGCTCCGAGCTGTCAGCACAGAGTCCGATGCGGGGGTCGTACTCATGAACTGTGAGATCATGACCTGAGCTGAAGTCGGACCCTCAACCGACTGAGCCACCCAGGTGCCCCAATAAATATTTCTTTGATTCAACTCTATTGGAGGAAACGCATTTGCTTATAACACCCATCATTCATTGAGCGTCCACTGTGAGCTAGCCACTTCATATAGTTTTTAAAACTTTTAATTTTAAAGTAATTTTAGATTTACAAAAGAGTTGCAGGATAGTACAGAGTTTCTGTATACCTTTCGCTCGGCATCCCCTAGTGTTTACACCTTATGTAACCATGGTAGATGATCAAAACTAAGAAATTAATGTTGGTAAAATAGTATTAACTAAACTACAAGATATATTTTGATTTGATAGTGTTTCCACTAATGGTTTTTTTTCCCTCTTCTGTTACAGGATCTGATCCAAGATCCCGTACTGCATTGTAATGTCTCCTCAGTGTCTTCCAGTCTCTGATGGTTCCACAGTCTTTGCCTCTCATGACTTGGTACTTTTGAAGAGTACTTGGAAGTTACATTGTAGAATGTCCCTCAACTGGAGTTTGATGTTTTTCTTTTTTTTTTTTGTTTTTAATTTTTTTTTCAACATTTTTTATTTATTTTTGGGACAGAGAGAGACAGAGCATGAACGGGGGAGGGGCAGAGAGAGAGGGAGACACAGAATCGGAAACAGGCTCCAGGCTCCGAGCCATCAGCCCAGAGCCTGACGCGGGGCTCGAACTCACGGACCGCGAGATGGTGACCTGGCTGAAGTCGGACGCTTAACCGACTGCGCCACCCAGGCGCCCTGATGTTTTTCATATTATTAGACTGAGGTTATGGATTTGGGGGAAGAGTATCATAGAAGTCATGCGCCCTTCTCATTTGGGGATACAGGATCTAGAGGTGTTTTATCACAGGTGATGTCAATCTTGATCACCTGGCTAAGGTGGTATCTACCACGTTTCTCCACAGTAAAGTTACTATTTTTTCCTTTCCACACACATAGAATATTTTAAATCTGTATGACAACCTTGCAGGTTTGATTAATGCTATTTTACAACTGAGGAAACGCGAGATATCTGCCGTAATTTTACAGTGACATCATGGAAAAGTCACAGAATTTTAGAAATGATCTCTTTTCTTTAAGAGATGAGGAAACCAAGGCCTGGAGAGATTAAACGGCATGGCCAAGATCACTCAGTTCAGTGCAGAACCAAACTAGACCCCAGGTTTTCTGATTTCCAGGGAGCGACTAAATGCATAACTAGGACTCTAATATGTGAAGTAGGCATAAGAACACTGGATCCTTGCATATAAATAGTGAGGGCTCCCCTTCCCTTAACTCTGATTGGAGAGGAATCTAATACCACAGCCCTGCTGGAAACAGCTGTCAAGAAGCAGCTGTAGAATTCTGGCTGGCCTTTCTGTGGCACTGCAGTCTTTTGCAAGGTTGGTCATAAGACAGGCAGATCTGATATCAGATACCAATTTCACCTAGAATGCTAGTTATATGGCCTCTATTGTCTGTGGTTAATATAGTAATCTGTTTCCAGTGGAGCTGCAGGTGGCTTTCTAGGCCCCGGGCTAAGAAGTTATTTTAGTCTCGGGTGCTGCCCCTGGAATTTACGCAAGGCATTCAGAGGGGTTGGTAGGTGAAAATCTTAAAAGCCGAGTGGAAAGCTTGATATGGTCATAGGAATTCCATTATCCAGAAGGCTCTTAGGTAAGATGGTCAATTATGGGCAAAAATTCACTAAGCTCCAGATATTTATGTGTTTGTGTTTCTACTGCCTAACATTATGATAGTCTGCTACTGAAAGAGATGTGAGAAAGTGAAAGAACTCTGCACTCAGCCCAAAATTCCAGAGTTGCAGTCTCCTCTAAGGCTATGGCAATCTGACTCACTGGTTTTAGTTAACCAGGATATAGGGCTCAGCGCAACTTTAAGACAAACTCTTGGCAACAATCTACCCTTTCCCCTCTAGGGAGCAGGTAGGAGGATGGCCTGATCTGGGATTGGTCCTGGTGATGCTGACACATGGAAGTTCACCTGGTTCTGAAGTGAGCTGTGCCTGGAGCATAATTAGTCCTATAGGTCAATCCTAAGTGCAACTAACCTCCTTGGGCATTTTCAGAGAATGTCTTGGTACCAAACTGGAACCTACTTCTTGGGATCACTTCTTTGAGGAACTGACAGCCTCAGATCCACCACTGCCAGGATCTGCTGGATAACTCAGATCTGGGAAGAGTAGGATGGTGACCAAACTGGCCTTCCAAATGCATGAAGGACTTTCTCTGGCCACGATGCTAGTCATCTGCCCGAAATAAATGCCCCCCTAAACATGTATTCTATTTCTTCGTGTGAACCCTTCCAAAGGTTCTTTGGTCAGCTCCTGCAGTCAATTAAGACCTCTGTGGTGAAGCAACATATAGTGCTGCCACAGTGTGGGTGTGTAGGGTCAGGGGCTGCTGGCCTGCTGCTCAGAGTGTAACTGAACTCAAGGGCGTTGCCGCTTGGTGTGCATTAAGTTGAACACAACCCAAGGAAGTGCTGAAAACAAAGAACTTTGTATTGTGACAAGTAAGAAGACAGATAGCTCTGAAAGTACTGTCTTCCTGTGGGGTTAGTACAGGAAGCTTTCATTCAATGTATTAGGGGGCAGGGGCAGGGAGCTTGCATATATATTAAGAGCCTTATATTCTATTCTTAGGCATTTTGGTTCAACTGTGTATAACTCACATGTCAACATGCTAGTGCACATGCTGTATGTTTGAAAAACAGCAGAACACTCAGCCCATAGGAGGAGATCTGGTATTATAATGAGCCAAAGTTAACTTTAGGACAACTCAGGGAGGCTTCTGCTCAGGTCCACAGTCCAAACTGGCCTACACTGGCTCGCACAAGAGGCTATCAGGTGAAAGACCTAGTGGGGAGTCCCCTTGGCTGGCTGCTGGTTCTGCAAAACAAAACACATTCCTTCCCTGCTTTTGTTCCTTCCCCCTCCTTCCTTCTGCTGAAGGCTTTCAGCCCTTAGATCTGAGTAACTCCCCTTGGTATCCTAGCTAACAAGAGGATGCTGTTTATGTCCCTGAAGTAGAGGGCGTGGCTTGGCCCAGCACTTCTCAGGTGGAGAACAGCAGATCTGAGGAACATTCTGAAGTGGTCTGCAGCCTCAGAATCAAGGTATCTTCTTTTTTGAATCCATTTGCTTCACCCTATTTTATATAGCACAGCTTATAAGCTTTTACAGTAACAGAAAGCAAACATTTAAAAGCTGTTAGATCCTATAGAGATATGGCCCAACTTTTTGTTTTGAAACAGTTTAAAACTTATAGCAAAGTGGAAAATATAGCATAAGGAGGTCCTATATACCCTTCATCCAGACTCTTCACTCATAGCATTTAAATACATTTTGCCTTCTCTCTTTCTCAGACATAAATAAAATTTTTTTCTGAGCCAT